TGTAACCAAATCCAAAGTCGAGATAATACAGTGAGCAAAAAATAGATACAGCTTGTCCAGGATAGGGATTTCGGGAGACTCGGCTCTGGAATATTAAAAACAGCCCCTGATTGGTTCATGCGTCTGATTATGTCATAATTCGGACTATTCTAAAAATAGATGTGACCAATCCAGGAGGATGCTCAGAAGCGGCTCTGATTCCTTCTCAAGAACTATGACGTCATAATAGGGGTTGTTCTAAAAAATAGATATGACCTATCCGAAGAGGAGGTGTGACATCACTATGAAGGATGTGACGTCATTTAATGGGGCTGACGTCATTGCAAGGGTTGATCCACGATCCACCCCGATCCACCCGACGCAGAACCCCTATTCTGTATACTACTTGAATGGAGTTCAACAGTCTGATTAACAGATGAATAAAGCCAAACGTTTTGTCTGTCCAAGTATTGACAAGCGGGTCGCGCTTCAAAGAAAACGAGTGCAAAGATGTCAGGCGGTATTCAAGATTTTCCCGAGTTTCGCGTGGCTTATGAATTGTTATGAGCTTGTGGGACATAGCAACGGTAACTATAAGAGGAGTCGGAATCATGAATTTGTATGATTAAAAAAACTTACCTGTATTTGGGAAATGCATGTAGAGGGTCATATTTCGTACTATAATCAGCACTTGCTTCATTAAAACTACTACACCACAGCTGCATATTATTGAAAAAAAGAATTCATGAGCATTTTCACGTGACAAGGGGGCCATATTAGTGTACCAAACAATATAAACTTTCTGCAAGCTTTTGCATAAAAATAGAGTTCCATTCCCCGAGGATAGAAAAGGTATAGTTTTGGTACACCAACATGGCCGCTGTGACGTCACGTGAAGGTTGATCGTCCCTCCAAGTTAAATTCCATTTGAGTTCATCTTACGCAAGTATATTTAATTGGTACATTTGTTTTCATACGCTAACAAACTTGACATATCTAAATTCTAATTATCTCAATACCAATTCAAACTGGTTAGCGCCGTGTCCCGGGGTCAAACATGGACTTTTTAGCGACTGCAAGTAGCGCCTTCACATGCTTTCAGTTCGAAACCGTCGGTGGTCATTTGTCATAGGACAAAATGTTGGCCAAGTTTGATTAATGTAGATCATCATAGAAAACAGATTATCAAGCACGAAACTTAAGTAGGAATCAATTARTCAATTAAGAAAAGTAGGTCTATTTGCTCTGAGTGTTATTTCTAGGATTACATGAATAGGCTCGACATTTTGGTTGCACATGTCATAAGGGAGAACAGAAACGCGTGTCAAAGTTAAACAGTATCAATTGATCGGTAAGCAAGAAACGTGTTCTCGGAACCAAAATGTCAGTCCTAATGGTTTGCTTGAGATTAAGGTCGACAGCTCAGCACGTAGAGTTGTTGGCCATCTGAGCAAACATTCTATTCACTGTTGACATCTCTAAAGCTTTTGTTCTCTGATAGTAATGCATAATCGGGTGTGTCAACAATCTATTGACGCCCCAACTTTAGTCTCAATAATCTCCTTCATTTTTGTTTCAAACTTGAATCACCTTCAAGTGGTAATTAGTTAAGTTAAGTGTATAGCGACTACTGTATGATCTATGCGATTTAGAGTTGAGTAAATCATAGGAATTTGGGTTAGTTCAAATTCCTCCTCGGGAATTGGGAACCAGCTCATTAACTCCTCTGAGTCGCATTGACCAATCACAGTTAGCGTCAGGTCATTATCGGCTTGACGTCACTTTCTATAGACCACAAATAATTCTTAAGTGCTTGTGGCACACACTAAGAGTCAGAAGAGATAGCGAGGAAGAGAAGAACACAGACCAATAGTCAGAAGTGTACAGACCAATAGTTAGAAGAGTGAAGAAAACAACCAAGCGAATAAAAGACCAGAAAAAGAAAAAGTCTACGTGTGTGTACGTGGGACGAGCTAGTACGCCCCATCCCAACCATCGGGAAAAAACACCCCACGTCACACATTAGCGATTAATAAGAGACATTTTTAAAGAACATTCTATTAAAACCTACCTGAGCGAATCCCACGAAAAATAACTGATCCGGGCTTAATGTTAGACCAGGAAGTATTTTCTCAGAACCGTTTTCTTTTTTCCAGCGCTGATAGGCCTAAAAAAGAGAAAATATGAAATGTACGAATCTCCAAGAATGGATTGACATTTGATTCTTAGTTGAGGCTGCATTTGACTCTAGTATGCACTTATGACTCTCATGTTATCGCTTCTGTCAAGGATATAAATAATAAGCCACTTTACCTTGGGCCGTAATGTTTACCCATTTCAGACTACATGCCATTCTCTTAGGAATAATATTCTTCGTTCGAGTTGTATCTATATTCATGTGTCTTCTCATGTGCAACCGTTAAACAAAGAAACGATACTCTAGGGAATGACAYGTGGTCTGTAATGGAAAACATTAAGCCCAAGGTAAAGAGTTGCTCAAGTTGGCATACCTCGTAAGCGAGCCTGATGCCACCATTGTCCGCGATGTTTTCATCCAAAGTGAGAGATCCATTGATCTGTGATGAGAGAAAAATGGATGAAAAATAAGACATGTTTAGCTATGAGTAAAGGAATATGAACAGGGGAAAAAAGATCAGAGGATAAAACAAGAACGCATGGAGGGAGGGAGGGAGGGATGGACGGACGGACGGACGGATGGATGGATGGAGGGATGGATGGATGGATGGAGGGAGGGAGGGCGATTCGTTCTTTACAATAAAGATAAAAATAAAAACATCTAAAAACAAGGAAAAGGTTTAAAAGAAAAACGGTTTCAAGCGCGCCCTGGATCCTTGCCGAGCGATTCGTGATTCAGTGTGTCTGTCCTCTTATTGATTATAGCTGTCAGCCAATCAAATTGCGAGAATACGCTCTGTTATTGTAAAAAAATAAATTTATTTGCTAATTTTGATAACTTACATTTTTGCCAAAAACGGGATATTTGTTATATTGCTCTTCGAGACACTTTGCCTTTTGTTTAAAGCTTTGTGATGAAGACTTTGACCACCAATCCTCTTTTTTACCATTGCTACCATACTTACGGCCTAAAGGAAAAGTGTGAACCTTACGGCGTTAATATATCGGAAAAGAGAGGTACAAAAAATGTATTACACATATTTAAAATATATTACACGTATTTAAAGTGGATTAAATAAAAGCCTAAGGAGTTATCTAGACCACTTTCCTCAGGCTTAGGGCAACCATACTGCGAGACAGAAACAATGGAGTGTTTTTGATTGTTTAGCAGTAAAACATAGCGGTCCTGAAACAACTTTATTTCGCAAATTTTGTGTAAAGGCGCACGAGGAAAGACTCTAGAATGTGCCGCAACGGTGATGGTACATTGTCTTAAGAAGCTTTCTCGTGAGTTTGCCCCACACTTGTTGCCATGACATTCGTCATTTACAACACAAAACACTCAATAGACCTATCCCGAATTCACTTGACCGGTCACGAAACAATAGTTTCAAGTTGAGGTTGAACTTGATGAATAAAAGAATCAAGTTTGATTTCGACTTCAAACCATTGTTTCGTGGTCAGTCAAGTGAATTCGGGAAAGGTCTATTCATAGACCTCTTGTTACAGTCAACTTGGCTGCTGCACGTGAGAGCTCCATTCTTACCTAATCCATCAAACCCATGTGTGATTTCATGGCCTATTACCATCCCTATTCCACCATAGACCAAGTACATAGGAAAATCAGGGCTGTAAAATGGCGGTTGTATTATTCCTGCAGGAACAACTGAGATAAAAAGGAAAATGTATCTTGATTCAGGGAAGGTACGTGCTGATAATTAAGGCTAAAAGGGTCGTCACAAATGTTTGTAAAAATCGATGGGATTGTGTGCGTTTGGGACAAAATCAAGCAATTGACTTCGTTCTCGCTTGCGGCATCTATATGTCATCGTAATTCGTTAAACAATCGACAGCGCCAAACTACAGGCAAGAGTCTTGCGAATAAACATTTTTTCTATTCCTTTAGGAATGCAGTTTGATGCCAAACACTTTCTTGTCAGAGCTAGAAGTCATAAAAACTGTGACTTAATTATGTATAAGATGTATATTTTGTAACACGAGCGTAGCAGATGGACACAAATTACTCTTTTAATGGTTAAAGTTCCTTTAGGTCTGGCGGGAACTCTAACGCCCAAACGCACACATTCCCAATTTTTATTTACCTATTTTATTGCTGTCTGCAATGTAAAAGGCATTCATAACATATATTTTGTCGGGCGTCCATCTAAGAAAACGAAATCAAAAGTCAATGACTAATAAAATAATTCCCGAATTCTGTTTTTGATAAACATGTAGATGCGATCATGAATAGGTTTATTCATTTTATGTAGTTATATATTTCATCTTATGATAATGGAAGTACAAACCTTCAAAACATCAAGACGCAACATTTAAATGAAGACATATTTCACCATTCAACTATTTTCCTTTTCCTTAGAACCAATACTGAAAGTATTGTATCAGGGGTGAGATGCGCTTTAACTCGACAAAGCATCCCTTAGAAAATATGGTTTAAGGAAACAAAAGCAAACAACCAAAAGACAAAAGAAAGGGCAGTTGAAAGCAAAGCGTTCATTAATCCCGTTGGGACTAAGAGTGCCCAACTCTTAATCCCAACGGGATTAATGAACGCTTTGCTTTCAACTAACCCTTTCTTTTGTCTTTTGATTGTTTGTTTTTGTTTCCTTGCCTACGTTTACCTTGTTCTCATTGGTTTCTTTTGTCTTATTCTATCATATAAACACTCCTTTCTACCACCTCTTTCTCTTTTACTCCGACGAAGGACTAGCGTCCGAAACGTCTGTAAGTTTTTTCATCTTTTCACGGTGTATAATTTACCTTTTTATCATTACTGTTTCATTAGAAACACCGACGCAGCTTACACTAGTTTTTAGCTAGTTATCTCTTGATAAAAAAAGCTGGTCAAAGCATTATGCCAATAAATTCACTTACTCGCTTCTGTCAACTGGTGTGCCATAAGTATTTAAGCTTTTCACTGCACTAAAATGGGATATGGCTTTGTAGTTTAGGAAAAAGTTGTCAGTGATGTGTAGCTGTGGACATAGAATATACTAAATGATTTACTGAGTGTCATTAGTTGCTAGCTGGTATTAGGTTTTACTTCACAGTTCCTTTGCGCCATCTTGAAAGGTAGCCGTGCCTTCGCATCGAAGCGAGACGAACGGCGAGCTTGCAATGATAGAGACATGTGAATAATGGTCCAAGGTGTTATGAAAGCCTATACAATATGTCTGGAATGTTAAACATCGTGTTCCGGCCAATCGTATGTGAGAATGAATTCATTTCTAATTAACTGTCGATCATGATGATAACGATAATGATGTTGGTAGATAATTACCGATTGATATCGCTTTTCGAGTTCCGATGGATTCTTGATGTAAGATGGATACGCTATGTTGCCTTTCATTGCAAGTGCCTTCGGGAGAAAAAATAAAGTACAGAACGCCATCTGATTAGTAGGTTTCCGATTTTCGCACTCTAACTTCAACGCAGGCAGGCCAGGAAACTTATAACTCTTTTTTCAACAGTTACCCCAAGATATTGTGCAAAGTCGTGGTCAATAATACACATCTTTGTCTTGTATATGAAGTTTTCCCATTTGACCGCGTGACATTCCCTTGAGAATAAGAGTCTTTGTTGGAGTTGTACACATATTCATGTGTCTATTATACTCTAGGGAATGTCATGCCCATGAGAATAAGATTCTTTGCTTAACTTGCATTTGTCTTCTCATACGCAACCGTTAACAAAAAAAATGATACTCTAGGAAATTATACGTGTCTAAAAAGAGCAAACGTTAGGCCTATATGGTAAAAAGAGGCCTGTTGTTACATCAATCATAGGTTTAAAAATTGATTACGTTTTTTCGCTAAAGCTTTCTTTTCACTTATTTCTCTCACTTTCCTCCTTCGGAGGACTGGAACCGACAGGTCACACAAATCAGTGATTGCAATGAATGCGCATGCCTAGACCATACGTTATTTGTTCGTAGTTTAGATAGTTGAGAAAATCAATAAGAATGAAAGCTATCTGAGTAAAAATGGCTCACCTTTTGTTTGGCGTTTTCTTTGGTTCGGGGATCCATCCATGTATCTTTTTCCAGTCGAGCAATGAAAGATGAACGAATGTTTTCAAACACTTTTTCTATCTAGAAAAGAAAGAAAAGAAGAAAGAAACTAGGCGAAGAAAGAAAGGAGGAATGTAATAAAGAAAGGGAAGAAAACTCATTCAAAATGGAATTATCTACTTTTCTCAGTGTTGAGTTCCAGCTGTTGGTGGTAAAACTATACATTAATATATCTGACAATCTGCTCTGCCTTCATTGAATATTTTCTTTTTTGTCAAGGTTGCGAAAACATTTTTTATCATATTCGGCACCATATTTTTGAAATCGAAATCGAAATCTAGTTATAGGCTAAACCAAATATCCAACCCTGAAACAACCTCTGGACTGATCTAAGTCAGGGTATGGGTAACTCACAGATCGAACCCTGAAACAACCCTCTGGGCTGATCTAAGTCAGGGCATGACTAACTCATAGATTGAACCCTGAAACAACCCTCTGGGCTCAACCTATGTCAGGGCATGGCTAACTCACAGATCAAACCGGCCTGAAACAACCTCTGGGCTGATCTAAATCAGGACATGGCATGATCAACTTTAATTAACTAACTGATAGATCGAACTGAGAGACCCCCAGCTCTATTCACCCACTCACTCTACTCACCCACTCACTCTACTCAAAGCAAAACCCTTAAATAGTCAATTGATTCTTTGGGCTTTTAGATCTGTACCTACCTTCTTTTTCGGATCATTTTTTATAACCAATTCAAGGTATAAAAAGCCCAAAGTACTGTCAAAGGGAGATGACATTATCAAAATACATTGCTTYGATCTTAGCTGGTCGACAGTTGTTTTGTTGTTTGCAGTTTGGTGAAACTCTGATATCGTTAAGTTGTACAATTCAGGAACTGCCTTCAAATATTTCCTGATAACTTGCCACATCATATAATCCACAACCACTGATTCATTTCTGTAAAGAAAAACAGATAATCAAATGTTAGACAAACAAGTTGAAAAAATGGCCAACCAGCCAACATGCCAACCAGCCAAACAACCAATCAGCAGCCAACCAGCGGCTCTGTGGATGCTTGTAACTCTCTAGAAATTGTCATAAGAACTTAAAGCAAGAAAACTTACGTTTCCTGGATCAATATGTACAGGTTCCTCCAGAGCTTTGTATTGGTAACTGGATTAAATCTTATTTCTTCTTTTCCTGAAAAATCTCTTTTAAAAATGATGCTAAGCGTTTTCTGTAAAAATGGCAACTAAAGAGAAACGAAGTAGAAATAATAATCGTTAATAACTTCCATGATGGTCGAAAACGAAATTAGCATAATGAATATTATGTCGAACACCAGTAACCTAACTTTAGCATATGCCTTCATGTAACTACTACCCCCATCCTAATCCACGAGTCCCGTTTCAGAATTCCCAAGTTCCTTTGACAGGACAGAAAAACAACAAGCCCGCTACTTCCACTTTTTTTTTTTTTGTTTAACTGAGTTTTATACTCCAAATTTTTGTCGAATTAGATTAAAGGCTACTTATTAGTATTCAGGAAAGTGTCAGTTTTTCTGCTGATCAAAATCTCACCTCTCCCAAAGTACACGGCTTTATATCTCAAATACGCATTCAATAAATTTTGGCCGCATTTGATATTTTGCTATTTGGCTCCAAAAAGAACGTGTTTAAAAAATATTGAGCTTAAATACGTAAAGCTGTCCTTATGACGAAAGGCCAAAAACCTTTTTTCTGTTTTGTCAGTTCCTTTGCTTTTACCAAAACTTAAGTATTTCATCATTACTAACAGGCATTCCAGATACGTTGCTAAATAATAAGAGCGACATGTGAGGTTCTTGGGGGTCGCTAGTTCGTCTCTGGCGACTTTTACTCCCTGCAAAATGCGTTAACTTGCGGCTCTGTGTTTCATAGTTCTCCTTGAAAATCTAGAATAAGAAATAAAAATTTTCAACTGAATATCTACGATACGACTCAGTACAATTCAAAAACTTTAAAGAGTAAAGATGAGAGGGCCCAAGTGATGATAAACCTTGCGATATAAGTTTTATTCTTTCTTTAGCGTTAAGCAATGTGAGACAAGGACCACCTTGCATTATTGCTATCTTCTGGATTGATTACTAGCCTATTGATCGCAGGATACACCAAGGGTTTCATTTCTAAATACGAATCCGGTTATCCTCATAATGCCTGAATCCCAAAATTTGCAGCAAGCAAACAAACACACAAATGAACAAAACGAAAGCAAAAAAGTATTCACTTTGAATATGCTTTTTTCGAAATCGTAGATGGCCATCATTTTGTCATCAGAAAAATTCGACCGCGAAAACATTCTTCCTACTGTCTTCAGCAAACGCTTGTAAGCCTGGTGCTACGGGAAAAAAAGAAATGTTACATCATTAAAAAACAGAAACTCATAAGGGAGTCCAAAAGTGTGACACTAATACTATATCATTTCTAAGGAATATTCAGATAAGAAAATTAGGGATGGATGGAGGGATGGAGGGATGGAGGGATGGAGGGATGGATGCATGGATACCTGTACACTTGAACTGTTTTTTTCATGGTAATAGTACATATGTAGTCCAATGTTTGGTTCTGACAGCTATGAAAAGAATATAGCATTATTAATATTTGAAAAAAAAAAGATATTTAAATTTACTGCAAACGAGATGCCAATATCATAAAAATTGCATGTAAAAAAAGGTAAAGGTAATTGATTTAACGTCGAACATGCTGAGAGTGATTTATCAATCTCTTTGGACAATTTTCCCATGACTCAAGCACCCAATTAGGAGTTAGTTTTGTGAAGGAAGAAAAAATCACAGGTCAAGAACCAAAAAGCAACTCTACTAAGGCTGCGTTCATAATGTATGCTGGTGAAAATTTGAAATGTCCAGAATAATTCTTAACACCCCCC